TATAGTTTATAAGTGAGTTTGTTGTTAGGTATCACTGAGTCGATCTCAACTCATAGCAGCCCTACATACAACAGAATAAAACCCTACCCAATCCTGCATCATCTTCATTGTCGTTGTCATTGTCATGTCTGAGCCATTACTGTAGTCACCGTGTCAATCCATCTCTTTGAGGGTCTTTCTCTTTTCACTGGCCATTTATTTTACCAAGCATCATGTCCTTTTCCAGAAAATGGTCCTTCATGGTAGCATGTTCAAAGCAAGTGAGACAAAGTTTCACTACCCTCCCTTCTAAAGACTATTCTGGCTGTACTTCTAACACAGATCAGCTGGTTCTTCTGACACAATATTCTTCACCAACACCATAATTCATCTTCTGTCTTCCATATTCATTGTCTAGCTTTCATATACATATGAGGTGAATGAAACATACCATGGCTTGGGTCAGGCATATCTTAGTCTTCAAAGTGACATCTTTGTTTTTTGTTTTATTTGGATGGAATTATATATTTTATTTCTTGAGTAGATACACAGTATACATATTAGACTTTCCCTTGGAAAGACTTACTTTAATATTTTTTCCCCTTGTTCTCATACATTTTTTTAAAAGCTTTTATTGTGATATAGTGATTCAAGCCAGCCTCCTGGCCACAACACACTCTTTCTCTTTCCATGAGTTTAGAGTCCTCAGCTGCTCTATCTCTCCATGCCATCATCTCTGCCTCTGTCTCTGGTGTCGCTGCTTCTCTGGTTAGGTCCCACATTTTGCTCATGTTCATCTCTCTTGATGGTCCTAGGAGATCCTCTGTTCCTGAAATGTAAGATTAACTACTTCCCCCTTTGTTAAACAACTTCTACCTTTACAGTTGTGACAATTGCAATTAGTCATGATAACAATTGTTGTTGTTGTTGTTAGGTGCCATTGAGTCGGAACCGACTCATAGCGACCCCATGCACAGCAGAATGAAACAATGTCCGATCCTGAGCCAACCTCACTACCGCTGCCACACTTGAGTCCATCAATGCTGCCACCTGCCAACCCATCTTGTTGGGGGTCTTCCTCTTTATCTCTGACCCTCCATCTTACCAAGCGTGATATCCTTCTCCAACGACTGCTCCCTCCTGACAGTATGTCCAAAGTATGAGAGACGAAGTTTGGCCATCTTGGCCTCTAAGGAGTACTCTGGCTGTACTTTTTACAAAACAGATCTATTGGTTCTTTTGGCAGTCCATGGCACTTTCAGTATTCTCCTCCAACACCATAATTCAAAGGCATCAATTCTTATACGATCTTCCTTATTCACTGTCCAGCTTTCGCATCCATATGAGGTTATTGAAAATATCATGGCTTGGGTTAGCAATTACTCACTATTAAGTCAAAACAATCCTATCCCCATCTCCTTTCACCAGATCTATCTAGACAAGGTGAAAACCATTCAGTGGGGATTCTACCTTCCCCCACACACCCTGAAACTAAACTCTCTTTTGAAAACTTGTAAGCCAGCTACTTCGTGCCTTTACAGCTACTGCCTTCCCCCATTTTAGGTAGCCAATGTCTAAGTTGCCAGTCCCTATCAACCCTGTGGTACAGAGAAGACAGGTTTGATCCTTGATTTGAAGAATATCTTTGCTTTTTAACACTTTAAAGGAGGTCTTCAGCAGATTTGTCTATTTTAACACTTGTTTGATTTCTTTACTGCTGCCTTCATGGGCACTGACTGTAGATTCAAATAAAATGAAATCATTGACAACTTCAAACTTCTCTACATTTATCATGATTGGTTGCTTATTGGTACAGCTGTGAGGATTTTTGTTTTTCTTTATGTTGAAGTGTAAACCATAATGAAGCTGTAGTCTGTGATCTTCATCAGTAAATGCTTTAAGTCTTCTTCACTTTTAGTAAAGCAAGGTTGGTTCATCTGCACATTACAGATTGTTAATGAGTGTTCCTCCAATCCTGATGCCTTTTTCTTTTTCATACAGAATAATTTCCAACAAAAGAGACTGAGAATAAAAATTGTTTTGCTGTTTAGAGGGCTAAGGTGACATATCTACTGGACCCATATTTTGTGCCAGATAGGGCACAAGGTTATTTTACTAAGATGATCTCATTGCCTCTTTAAAACAATCCTATTTTGCTTGGTCACCATTTTTTAAAAGGAGATTATTTTTACAAACTAAGGCAAAGAGAGATGATCAAACAGTTGTGAAAGGAATTAGGCCCAGGTCTGTGTGAGTTCAAAGTCCATGAAGGTTCTCTAACTAAAGTTTTCAGATAATAGAAACATAATTAATGATATCAGATAAATGAAGTACATAGTTTACTCTGACCTACCTTTCTAGGTTGTAATTCTTAGGCATTTGAAAGACTAACCTGAATGATGTTACTTACCTTCCAAATACTTTTGAGACCTTCCCATTGTATATAATCTTATTTTTTCAGAATGAAATCCATGGATTTGACAAAGGGCCTCACAGAGTTAATATTCCACAGAATTATTGAGGAGAAATCTTATAAGTACTATGTAAGTTTGAAAAAATAAACACCGTGTACTAGATAAATCCTACATGCCATGCAATATGTTAGCATACTCTATACTGATAAAATTTGTCTATATACAAGAAGGCTTCAAAAGGTTTGTGAAAAATTCCAATATCTTTTCATTTCCTTTTCCAGAAACTTTTTGAAGTCCCCTGGTACACTGGATTGTCATGCCTGAGATTTTCATATAATTTCATTTTCCATATACCTGCCTAAGGTCCCACAGCTAGCTAAAGACAAGATTGGTATGCAAAAATAAGTCTATTAGATTTCAAAACCAGGGTTTCTGTATATGGTTTCCCTTATTTCAAAGATAAAGACATCAAGGTCCTGAAAAGAATACAATCATTCATTCCACAAATAGTCAAATACATTTTCACTACACATTAATTAACTTTAGGCTGATATACTTGAACATCTATCTAGGTTTTCACACAGAGGTTTTAACCTAGGATGGATTTTAAACAAATAGTTTAAATAAACAAAAGTTTAAGTAAACCACGTCTCATTTAAATAAATTACCCCAAACAGAAATGTTGAGAAGGTACACTAATCAATAGTATTAGAATGAACAAGTTTTTTAACACTTTATTCAAAAACTAGCATAGTTCGCTTCTCCAAAAATTAAATACATACTGACTTATTTACAAATTATTTTTAATCTAGTGCTCACATTTACAACTTCATATCTTTACAACAACAAAAAAATTGGAAATATATCCATCAAGTATTAGATGAATGAAATTTGTTTTGATAGGATCAGCACTGGACTTCAAACCACAGGGTCAGCACATCAAACACACCAGCGGCTCCTTAGACACCCTATACAGGTCCCTATGATTCAGAACAGACTTGACAGTACTTATCAGCAACAATATTAAAAATACATCAATACACTAAATAGATTAAAATCACCTGAGGAGCCCAATAAAATCATAATTTGCTCATTTCAAAGATGCGTATCACCCAATCAGATTTGTTTATAATGCTACACCATTACCTTTTAAATCAACTAGAATGGGAAATTTGCAAATCACTAAAAAGAGAAATGCTGAGAAGAGACATTTTTCAATAGCATTGGAATGAACCATTGTTTTCCTCTGATGGTCAACAAATTCTATAACAGAATTTGTAGAATTATATATGTGTGTATATATATATATATAATTTATACTTTTCATATTCTCCAAATAAACTTACATATGAAATTTGTAATACAATATAACAAAACAGTATTTTAAAGTATATTAACTTACAAGACTTTATGATCAATTCTAATTACAGAAATAATTTCAAATCTTTTATAGATCAAAATATAAAACACATAAAAAGCTGTCTACACCTACCTATTTTATCAAAACAAAATGTGCAAATAAATTTTAATAAGCATCTTGGCACTTTAATATAAAACACAGGCATCCCTGGTGGTGCAAACTGTTAACTGCTTGACTAACTGAGAGGCTGGTGATCTGAACACCCAGAGGCTTAGACAGACAGGCCTGGAGATCTGCTTCCCAAAGATTACAGCCTTGAAAACCCAGTGGATGGCTCTACTCTGCACATAGGTGGTCAATATGAGTCAGACGGACTCAAAGGTAACTAAGGACAGCAATCCAGGAAAGAAGTTGAAGTGCAAATGTACACGTTGTTGTTGTTGTTGTGTGCCATGGAATCGGTTCTGACTCATAGCGACCCTGTACAGGGTTTCCGAGGCTGTAAATCTTTATGGGAGCAGAATGCCTCCTCTTTCTCCCATGGAACAGCTGGTAGTTTCAAACTGTTGGCCGATATGTAGAAATGAACAAAACAGACTAAGAAAGTCTACTACAGCCACTTAACTTGTATTAAAATCATGACAATGAAAAATCAAAACAACAAATTTATTTCAGGTAATCAAAACACATCTTTATAACACATCAGCCTTTATAAGAAGAAGTACTAATGGATAACACTTGTACTCATGCTTTGAAAAGCACATGGCAAATTTCTGAAAGGAAGTGTGCAGGGGAAAAGGAATACAAGAATATTTAAGGCTCAGCTGAGTTCACTTTACAAAGGTAAGTATGATAGTATTCTATTTTATAAATAAAAGTATTGTGCATATATATATATACACACACACCCAAGTATATAATTTTAAATAAAGATTTTCCATTTCTAGAATATCTTCACCTCCTTCTTGCTGTACCATCATAACAATCCACTACAAACAACTTGAAACATATCTGTTACATACAGCTATACAACTATATTCAAATGATATAAAGAGAAATTACAGAACCATCCTTCCCAATCAAAAGCAAAATACTTAAGTTCTAAATTTTGGTGAAAAACAAAACTTTCAATTCCCTTGTTAATACAGTGTTTTCCTACTTTTGAAAAATTTAAAAACACTTATTAAATGATCAAGTTTATGACAACTATAATATTGTTTTACAAAATTTAATTCCAAACTACCTACCCCTTCTTGTTTAGTGAAGAGATTAAGGCAATCACTCAAAGCTACACAAGTTTCTCTGGATGCTTCAGAGACCACTTCAACTTTCTGAAGAAATGATGGAAGCACTTCTACAAATTAAAAAAAAAAATTAAATGAAATCAGAGTGGGATTTTAAGCAACCTTAAAGGCTAAGACCACAAAAATATATCTACCAACTTCATATTTCCTTCCAGCTGCATATACCATATATTCATTGAGCATCAATATTAAGCACTCACTGTGTGCATACATAGGCAGTAAAGCATATGTATATATATATATACACATACATATACACACAAACACACACACATACACACAAAGAACCCTGCCCTAGATACCTAGACATCCTATCCTACAAAGGAGGTGAACCAAGACTGAAAACAGTTTACCAAATATATGCCATTATAATTTTTTTTTCAGTAACTGACAAGAAGGATTGACAGCATTACTTATAAGACATTTACATTTCCTTTCATGGAATTCTATGCTAGATCATTTTATTTAAAAGCAAAGCACAAAAAAGAGACAAAAATAATTTACAGTTGACATCACGGCTAACATGTTTGAAGCTTCCTCTAGTCGTCATTTGGACAAATGTTTAACATATAGAGGTCTTTTTCTTCTAAGCCTGCAGAGGTCCTGAGACTTTTAGTACATATTGATGAAGAAAAAAATAAATTAAAAAAATGGGAATATTAGTGCCTTCTAATGTTCTCCATTAGACCCAAAGGAGCTCTGGTACCGTAGTGGTTACAAATCGGGCTGCAAACCTTAAGGCCAGCAGTTCAAATATCAGCCGCTCCACGGGAGAAAGATGAGGCATTCTGCTCCCGTAAAGATTTACAGCCTCAGAAACCCTGTACAGGGTTGCTATGGGTCGGAACCGACTTGACAGCACTTAATAACAACAACAATGTTCCCCAAAGACAATTAACTCATTTTTCATTAAAAAAATAAAGTTTGAAAGAGTAAACTACACACATTATCACTTAAAAATATAATAAACAAGTAAAATATATCCTGTTCAGATTAGTGCAAGAGAAATGTAAGTAGCTGAAACAGACTTCTTACTGATGAAAAATTATTAACACATTTTTTTATTAGAAAATAACTAAAAGGAGAAAGGCAAATAATGAAACCTATATGGTATGGTGCTGTAGGATAAGCACTGGACCAGAAGGTCAGTTTGAACTGCAAGGTCATAGTTCAAACTCACCAGCCACTCTTTGGAAACCCTATACAGGGTCATTATGAGTTGGACACCACTTAATAACAAGCAACAGCAGCATTCTACATGTGTGTCAAATGACCAGGAGCTTACTTTTTAAAAAATATTCTTAAAATATGATAAACAATTCATGGGCTAAGTGAGACAGAGGCAAATAATGATGCATGCACAACCCTGGAACAACAGGGCTCTGGGATACAGGGATTGAGACATGGCTGGAAAGGCCAAAAGGGGGTAAACAATGTTAAGATGCTTGGCTGTCTTTTGAATCTTGGTTTCCCTGGCATACCATTATAAAATAGACACTTCAGGAGGAGAGAAAGGAATAGCTAGAAATATTGCTATTGAAAGCTTGTAACTGAATGGAATACCTAAAATGGAGTTATAATGTGCCCAGTGAAGGAGGTTTCTTGTGGAGCCTCTGCATTATGTAAGACCATAGGTGGAATCCTGAACCCCATCCAGAACCTTCTGAGGTGGGAAATTTCCAATTGAAAGGACAAGCAGACCAACCTGGAGTGGCTAGAAGAACAGAACATACTTCTTGAAAGAAAGACCTACAGGAAAAATCAAAAACAATAACAGCAGCCTGACTGACTACTAGATGGGTCTGGTGAAAGGAGATGGGGATAAGATTCGTAAGATTCAGCAGTAAATAACTGTTATCATGACTAATCATGACTGTCACAATTGTAAAGGTAGAAGTTTTGTAACAAAAAAAAGGGGAGTGATTAATCTTACAGTCCAGAAACAGAGGACCCTAGGACCATCAAGAGAGGAACGCACAAATAGAATGTGGGACCTTATCCAGAGAAGCAGCAGCACCAGAGATGGAGGTAGAGATGGGGGCATGGAGGACTCTAGATTCATCAACTAAGAAGAGAAGGACTAAGAACTGGTGGCCAGGAGCAGACTTGCAGAATGTGCCCTTTGGAGATGTAATTTATTATATATGCCTGAGTGGGTTTTTTTGTTTGTGTGTTTTTAAAAAAAAAAGCTGAAGTGGATAAAGAGAAATACTTTTAACTGATGGTATATGGAGGGGATTATAATCAATGTAATGAAACCAGTTATATGAATTGCTGAATGTGAAACTGATGATGTGCCCTGTAAACTTTCACTCAATCCACAATAAAAACCTTAAATAAAAAAAAAAGATACACATTTTGTCAAATGAGAAATGGAGTGACAGTATGAAAGGAAATAAAAGTGTAAGAAGTGTAAGAATACATCATTCAGACCATCAACACAAATCTACCAAAAACATAACACCAAATTATTTACAGTCATTTTGGAGAAATACACTGGTGAATAATTTTCTTTCTTTTTTAATTTCCCAAAAGTTCTATATGAATGTGATTTAGTTAAGAAAAATCCTTTTTTCTGAAAAATTAGTCAAAATTCATAAGGTGAGGGGGGACCTTACTACCAACTAGAAAGAAGAGCCAGGATTGGAGCATGTCCTTTGGGCCCTGGGTTCCTGGGCTGAGAACCTCCGAAATTCAGGAGACAGAAAGCCAGCAGCATTAACACTGAAGACAGCATAGGATGGTGCTCCTATCAAGACCTACACCTGTACTGAAGGCACCACAGCTGGACCTGATCCAGGTTATGAGACCTTGGACTTTGAGTATGATAGCATAATTAAATGAGAGGATAAGCACCGGAATAGGAACAATAAGATTGACAGTTTGAGCCCACTAGCCACTTCAAGGGAGAAAGACGAAGCTTTCTGTTCCAGCAAAAATGTATAGTTTCAGGAACCTATACAGGGTTGCTCTGAGTTGGAACTGACTCAATGGCACTTAACAATAACATGCAACTCCCAATGTTGTTATCAAATAGTATTCTAAACATGATTTTTAATAACTATGTATTATTGTAATTGTTACTGGACACTTAGATTTTGCATAATTTTGCACTGATAAATAACATTGCAGTGAATAATTTTGTTTGTGCAAAATATACACATCTTTGATCGTTTCCTTATATAGTTCCAGCAATGGATTGCTGGGACAGGTATTCACCTTATTAAGAATCAGACACTTACTGACAAATTAACTTCTAACACGTCTGTGCCAATTTTACAGTTCTAGCACTAGAACAGTAGTAAGAACTGGATTTTCTAATAAACAGATGTAATAAAAAATTTTTAAAAAAACTTATAGGGCAAATACAAGCAACAAAGGGAAAAGATGAGAATGAGTGAAGAAAGGCATGAACTACCTTTCCTCAATATCTGGATACGAAGACCAAATCACATTTTATCATTTTTCTTCATCTTGTGAAAGTTTCCTAGTGTTGATGGCGGCAGTTATGTGCTGTGGAGTAGGTTCCGACTCATAGCGACCCTGTACAGGGTTTCCAAGGCTGTAAATCTTTACGGGAGCAGAATGCCTCATCCTTCTCCCGTGGAACAGCTGGAAGTTTCGAACTGCTGACCTTGCGGTTCGCAGCCCAATTCGTAACCCCTACGCTACCACAGGAACAATCCAAAGTGATTACAGCTATTACATTCTAAAACAAATTTGACTTTACATTTATTTTTCATTTTGAATCTTTGATACACATTATGAAGATTTCTACTTAGTTGCTAAATAAATAGCATAGTACTGTCTCAGTTATCCAGTGCTGGTGGTGGTGGTGGCTGTGTGCCATCGAGTCAGTTCCGACTCACAGCGACCCTGTGTAGGGTTTATGAGGCTATAAATCTCTACGGGAACAGAAAGCCTCATCTTTCTCTTGCGAAACTAGTAGATTTGAACTGCAGACCTTTTGGTCAGCAGCCCAGCTCATAATCCCCTACAGCACCAGGGCTCCTTTACCCAGTGCTACTCTAACAGAAATAACACGAGCAGCTTTAACCAACAGGAACTTCTTTTCTCCCAGTTTAGGAGGCTAACGTTTAAGTGACAGTTCTCTTTCTTTCTTTGTGCTCTGGAGGAAGGTCCTTGGTCTCTTTGAGCTTCTACTATGGAATGATCTTCAATGTGGCTTAGCATCTCTCTTCCCCCATCTCTGCTTCCTTAATCTGCTCCTCATATATTTTGTGAGATGGGCTCAAAACATACTCTACACTAACCCTGTCAATTGACATAACAAAGAAAACCCATTCTCAAATGGGATTATAACCACAGGCATAGAGGTTAGGATTTGTAACACATATTTTTGGGAAGCGCAATTCAATCTTTTAAAAAAGTACCATATGCTAGATGCCTTTGACTTAAATAGCATCTCAACAGATGTCTCACCCAGAGCTGGGAACCAAGCACTGTGAGATGTACCAGAAAACACAGCCTCTGCCTTCCATAAATTTTTAGGATTATCTAGTAATTCTCCACTCAAATGGTACAAATTACAGGAAGATGGGAACATAATCATTTATGGATGCATTTCTTTCTTGTTGTCATTTTTAACTGCTGTCAAGTAGCTTCCAACTCTAGTGACCATGTATAGGGTTTCTGAGGAGGGGCTGGTGGGTTTGAATTGCCAACCATGCAGTTAGCGTCTAGTGTTCATCCTACAGTGCCACACCAGGAGTCCATCACATGCTTAATCATCTACAATTCTATATTTTAGATATTTCATATGTCAGATACTTAAGTATTAACATAAAAACAAACATCAAATGTCAAAAACAAATTTTTAACTAAAGCTGATCTTGCAAGCTTCTCAAAAACAATCCAAAAGATACAGACAAACTTTTTTGAGAATACACTGCTGACAGAGTGTCAAATTATATGTCCAAAACAAAGTCAAAAGTTGTTTTTTCTGACAATCTAGTGTTATAATACTAGGATTGATCAATTTTGCTATCCTGCTTGGTTTAAAAGAAGCTATCTAAGAAGCATGACCACA